GCAGGCCCTCCTGCCCCCCGCGCCTGGAGCCCTGTACACCAGTCCAGGGCCCAGGATGGACCTGGCCAGGGCTGGTGGTGGTGTGCTGCTTCTTTGTTTTGCCCAAGGCGGGCTGAGCTCACGCGAAGACTCTACAGCCTGCAGCGCAAGGCCAGGCGCCGCCGCTGGCAACCTGGACGCCCAGACGGCTCGCTGGCCTATCATCGGCCTCACTTGCCTGCTGGGAGTGGCCCCTCCTGCCTGACACCGGCGCCACACGGATGCCACGAATGGCGCCGGCACCACCTTTATGAAGGGGCCCTGGGACACACAAGTAAATACACATAACTAAAAGGATTCCCCATACTTTCCCGTATTTTCTTGGTTTTTGTCTTCCCCCCCACTTTCCATAGTTTCCCATATTTTCCTGGGAGTGGACGATGAATTGTGTCTGTGTGTTTTTTCCCCCTCCTGATTCTAGTGAGTGCACGCAGAGGGTGGATAGTTGATGCCACCCTCTGGGGAGGAAGCGTCGCATGAAGGTGCCCCCCAGGCTGCCCATAATCACGGACAGGTCTGTGACGCTCATAGGCGCATCCTCGCTGAGGCTGCGTCCCTGGGCGGGCCCGATCGGATGACAGCATAACACATTCCGAAGCTTCGGGGCGTGAAGCGTGTAACACACGCAGGCTAAGAGGAGCGGCAGATGCAGGAGGGTGAGGAAGGAAACCTGCGGGGGAGCTGCAGCGGCTTCAACCAAACACCTGCCCCATAAGCCGACGGTTGCCAGCATGCCAAGCCTCAGGACCGTGAGCGGGACGCCCACGAGGCGAGGAACACTACGAGGAGCACCAGCACACCTCCGCGGAGGGACCCAGACGAGGATGTCACGGGGCAGGTCGCGGCCCGCGAGGCCGAGCACCCCCATCCTCGCGTCTCGGCTCGCCCGCAGCGCGCCGACGCGGGCGCCGCCGACCTCCAGCGCCGCGACCGCCGTGGGCCGCACCGCCGCCGCCGCACGGGCGGCGCCGCCTGCCGCGCCCTCCAACGGTCGCCCTCCCGCCGCGCCACCCGCCCCCGCCGGCTGCCGCGCACAGCGCGGGGCCACGCCGCCCGCCGCCGCCGCCCCCGCGCCCTGCGGGCCCCCGCCCTGGCCACGCCAACGCACCTCGGCCGCTGGCTGGCGCCCGGCGCCCGCGGAGTCCGCGGAGGGCGCGTCTGCCGCGTCGGGGCGGGCGGCCGGCATGCTCGGCGGCAGCGCCCGCCGCCCCGCGCCCGCGGAGGGCGCGCCAGCTCCGTCGGGGCGGCTGGCCGGCAGGCTCGGCTCGGCGGCAACGCCTCGGGCCTGCGCTGCGGCGGGCGGCGGTGCAGCGGCGGACTGCCGTCCGACAGTGCGCCGGCCACGCTCGGGCGGCCAGCCGGCAGGCTCGGCTCGGGCGGGGCGGCCAGCAGCCCACTGCGCGGCGGCGGCCGCGGGCCAGTCTTCGAGCGCACGTCGGGCGGCCGCCGCGGGGGCCCCTTGCCGCACGGCCAGCACAAGACCTTCACCGTCCATGCGACGACGTTCCCGATGCCCGCGGTGTGCTCCATGGAAAGCTCGACCTGGGCACGCAGCTCCGCGCTGGCCTGCCTCAAGCGGAGTGGCGTCAGCGTCAGGCTGCCGAAGCGATGCGGGCTGATGGCGGCTATCGTGTGCCATACCATCACTATTTGTTGCACCCCCCAGATAATCTCGTGAGCCGTTCCCTGAACCATGTCGGAAGTTTCTCTATGCCAACAAACTAAAGAGCCTTTACCAGTGAGGCGCCAGCAAAACCCCCTCCGGCCTGCGAGCCGCAGCCCCTGACCCAGGCCGAAGGAAAACAGGCCTCTGATGGCCGCGCCCGGCCGCCTTCGTGGGCGGGCGCGCGCAAGGCGGCGGCGCTGCAGCGCAGAGAGGGGACAAGAAAAAAAGGAAGAGGACGAGGACGAGGGGGGAACCGACCGCTGCACACAACGCGCGGCGAGAGCGCACGGGGCGAGGACGCGGCCGCGGGGCCTGAGCCACCAGACACCGCCGTTGGGCGCGCGCGCCCGCGCCATGCACGGAGGGAGGCCAGGAGGAGGAGGAGGAGGAGGAGGATGAGGAGGAGGAGGAGGAGGAGGAGGAGGAAGGGGGAAGAGGGAAAACACGGCGAGCAGACGCCAAAATGCAGGAGGAGAAGGGGGAGGCAAATGCAGCAGCAGGCAAACGCACACGTTGGGAAAAACTTTTTCGAAGACAAGAAACGGCTCCCTGGGCACATGGGAGG